TTATATGACTTATATTCATGAAGATTATAGAGTTCTTCCCCAATCCCTATTGAAGCAACTTGTTTAACCTTTTCTTTTTCAAGGAAGGACTTATTGACTTACAATATATATAATACATGAGTGTATATACCTTTATATACATATATATATATGAATATATGATACTATCACATTGGTGTCCATGATGGATATTTTCCATCCTCGTAATCCCACCACCATAACCAGTACCTGATTGTCCTCTCCCTGAGAATGCACCTGTGACTTTCTCAGCACTATGCAGAGCACTTCCTTGTATTATTCTATTTTTGAAGGACACATTCCCCTCTTTGCTCCTTTTGTTTCTTTTTTTTTTTTTTTGCAAAGTTTTCCTCTCAGGAAAACAAAAACATACTTAGGTAGGCAACAGAACAATTCTACCATAAAAGACCTCCAGCCAAACACAAGCCAGCCAAGAGCTCTGTGTGTGTGTGTGTGTGTGTGTGTGTGTGTGTGTGTGTGACTACTGCCACTGTAGTTCTACGTGCATATGCCAGTGAGAGTAGCAAGGACACAGAGCAAAACATTTTCTCAGCACTGGCACTGTGGTCACATCTGAGATAAATCATATTCTCTAAGAATCTAATAGAAAGTTTTTTACTTCCTTTGCCTATCTGCACTGAAAGGTGGATATTGCTATTTCATACATTTCAGTGTCCCCGTTTTAGTTCTCAAATATGGTAATGGGTTAATGTCCTACGGTGACAGACACTGTCTTACCCCTGTCACAGGCAGAGGATGGATCATCAACCTATTTTTCACAGATCCTGGGAAAATCAGCAGTCTGGATGCTATTTCTTCCACAGTAAGCAAAGGAACAACAACAAAAAAGAAGGCAGAAGTAACAAATACAGGATAAAGAAATTGACCACCAGGAACTTGGCAAGCACCACAAGTTGAGGTCGAACATGACAGAGTTGAAATATAACTTTTGCAAGTAGAACCCACAAGAATTCAAAATAGAAATGTTGGAAAATACAATGGAGAGGTGCCTTTGCCGAATTGTGACATCAGTGTTTTAAGGAGAAAACTAAGTTCTAATGAAAGTGGAAGAAAACAGAAAAAAAAAAAGACTATCGCTTTAATTCTATCTAAAATAAGATGGCTTATAAGGATGCTCAAATAAATGAACAAGGTAAAATGTACATATTTTGCTTCCATAAAATATTTCACAAAATATTGAAAATTTAAATATCTATTTGTAGATATACCTACATTTTCAGATTTTAAAGAACTTTGTACACTATGTTAAAGATATGACACATGACTTTGAGCTATCAAAGCAACTCTTCAGCTGACTTCTCATATGGATGTGCTCCTTAATGAGATAATTTATCCCATTAATATCTCTTAATGCTGCAATTTTTGTAGATACTTTTCTACCATCATCAGTAGGTCATGGAGGAGTAGAAGAAATCCTAGGTGGCCACCTTTTTTCCAAATGGAAGACTACATGAATGATAGACTTGTTAATATAGTGAACAAAATCACTTTATACTTGTCTCAACTCTAAAATCTTATCATTGGTATCATGCCTACAGAAACATGGGGATATTGCATCTGAAAAAAGAATCCATAGTCATTTCATAGAAAAGGGACCTGAGACCCCATGGGCAATTGCTGCTAAATGGGTCATAAATTAAGGCTTTAAATGTAGAGCTCAGGTTTGCTCAGGTAGATCCATGAAAATAAAGAAGTCTTGGTACCTCAGACACAGAAGGTGCCAAAGATGAGCCGATTCCACCAGTTAACACTTGGAGGTGTTTGAAATTTCAGACACAAGCATCATTCCATTCCCTTCAGGAATGGTTAGTTAGCTAACTAACTAACTAGTGGCAAAGTTGATGATCTTTTATCCCTCATATTATGTCTTAGCAGCAGCAGTTATAATTCAGCCTTATTCTAAATCCAGTGAACTTTGGGAAACATACTTCATTTTCATGACAGCCTATCTACTCAAACTGTAAGATCAAAGTATTTTTTCTATGAACAATGTAAGACAATTTCATGATTGATCATAGAAAGAGATTAATCATGGTAAATCCCCTTTGCTCACATAGAAATCCTGAATTCATTGTGATACAAGGCGGAAAGATACCTCATCAAATACACTCTTCTTTGAGTTAGTTCAAATGGCTGCTGGTATTCTTAACTTCTCTCATCTCCAAGGTTCCCATACCTCTTTACTGCTATCTCAAGAGAAGAAGCTGATCGTCACATATTAATGAACAATTAAGTAACAGTCCAAACTGCTTCAAAGGAAATGTGTGTGTCAAGTCATACATAAGCTTGTAGAGAGATGTTTTGCCTCCTAGTAAAACCAGCAGCAAGAGGAAAGAAAGATATTTGGAAGCATATATAACATTTCTCCTGACATCCCTGGAACACCACCACATGGCTAGCTTCCTTTGTGGCTTTTGAGTATGCCAAAATATTGTCCCACATTGCCTGTTTGCCCACCAAAGCATAGCCAGACATGTGTAAAATCTATACATGAAAGGTTATCTGCGTCTAGTGACCCTCTCAGAATCCCCTTGCCAGTATGTACCAGATAACTGATTAGCATGGAAAGCTCTGTGTAATTGTGCAATTGACTTCGACTTTGTTATGATATCATCAGAGAAAGAGTCTAATTGAGGTGGTGTCCTCAAATTGTAATATAATTACTTTCTCTATAACAGTGAGTTTATCATTTGATACTATCAATAGAACATTCTACCCTTCAAGCATCATTCATCATTGTATGAAGTATGTAAAAATTAATGCCAGGGAAGCATGTTTTAGAAAATAACCAAGTCCCACCATTTAGTTCTAGCTTTAAAATTTACCCATTCATTCATTCATTCATTCACAATTTCATTCAACAAATCTGTATTGAGAAGCAAGATTGACATTTATCCAAATAAACCTTGTAGAATGGAAAGAATGTAGAATTCCATCCCATCACCTATACTTGCTACACCAATTCATTGCTGGGATGTGTCGCCAAACCTTGCCAGCAGCCTCGCAATTTGTGTATTCTCTTCTGTTTCATTGGTCCTCCCACCTGACTAGTTTAGCTCATTCTGAACTAGATGGCTTAGTCTTGAGCCACAATGCACCTGATCCCTGATTTTCAAAGGCTTCCATTGTGCTCTCCTGAAGTTCACAAGTCTGAGCTGGTGTGTGGTGTCTCGGGACTTTCTTGTGACTTTTTCATATGCTGTTTTAGTTGGACTAGTTACAGTTTATATTTATCAATCGATTACTTTTCTATATAATTCTGTCCATATTTCCCACACAACACAAATTTCCTCAGTTATTCTCTCCTCCTAGTAATCTTTTCTGATTTCTCTTGCTTTAAAAAAAATCAGATAACACTCTTCCTCTCCTTTTTATAATGTTTCTAGACTATTAGCCATATTTTAGAGTATAAAACAGTTTTCTTCTCCACCCTCTTTCTGTTTCAGAATAAAAAACAAATAACACAAATATTTCTAAAACAAAGCAATAATTTTCAAACTAAAGCTTACAAGTAAACAATACGAATTCCACAAAGAACCAAGGTGTCTATGATTAAATGTTTAGAAATAATTGTTAAACGTTTTGGAGTCCTATTGTTTAAATAGGACTACATATCCTTTTTAATGCATGGCAAGATATAAAAAGTTCTGAAAAATATTCTTCACTTACTTTGTAGGCTCTCAAATTCATCTGATTGTGAAACTCATTTTTTCTTACTCTTATGAACATCTTTAGAAATAGTTTTTGAGAAAGAGGTAGACAAAAACTATAAATTCAGAAATTAAACCTCCCATCTCCTTTTCTGTTACTTAATCTCTGAAATGTTGTATAATAAATAAAGATTTAAAATTGAGATGTTTTGGAACTTGTGTGTCAGGATGATGTCAAGTTTTCCCAGATGTTAGGACATTCTGCCTGTACTCTCTGTCCCTAGAGATCACCAGTAGATCCAGCAGCTGTAGCTCAGTGGTGTCTTTTGTTCATGAAGGTGGCATCCTCCAGGAATTATCAAATCTCCTACTTTAGCCACATACATGACCAAATACTGCAGTTGGAATGCTGCATATGAGTACATGAAAGAAAAAGAAAATAAGAATCTGTGTGGACACAGGAATGGAAAAAGAGAATAACTACCTGTGCTTACAAGTGAACAAGGAGCAGTATAAGAGGATGTCCTGCTTGCCATGAAGAAAAGTGTATCTCTGAGATGAAAGAAACAAACACTGAGGCAAAAAGCAAAGATGTGACACACACACACACACACACACACACACACACACATACACAAAACTCAGATATCTCATCAGCACCTCTCAATGACAGGCAAGGTTGCCCTTCAGGAGACTCAGAAACTTGTGGAGATCATTTTGCTTGTGGCGAGTGGGGTGGAGGTGACTACTGGCATCTTGTTCTAGAAGTCATAAATGTCACTTAATTTCTTACAACCCCCAGTGCACTCCCCTACCATGAATGATCTGTATCGGGATGCCCTTGGTGTCCCTCGTGAGGAGCCCTTGTTGTACATAGCCTACCTCATCTCTCATTCGGATAAACAGAGCAAAAGTGGTCAACCAAGGCATCCGGGGACGACAGCAAAAGTACATGCAAGCAACACTGTTTCATGAGACATGAAGCATTTCCTTTTGTTTTATTGTTTCCACACATTTTTTTTGTATGAAAGGGATCCTTCTCCAGAGAAATCATTATTAAAGACAGCACAACAATGTATAAATGCAGACACGCATAAAACAATGAATGTGAAATACAAAAAATAGCTAGGCCATCAAGTTCTCATGGTGATAAATCACAGTTTAGAAGAGCTTCAAATGCTCTGGAAAGATTTCACAATTCTTCCCTTGATTTATTGCCAGTTCTACAGATTGTCTCCTAAAAAACTGGAAAAATAAGCCCATAAATAATCTTATTACAAACAAAGTATATTTACTTAATGTCTGTCTAAAGTCTGAATGACAATGAACCCCTTATTTTTTGTATTATGGGGTAAGTGTGTGTGCTATCATTGAAAATACCCCTCCACCTTCCCTTGAGTTTTCTAAATTAAGTCTGACAGTTACCTTAACACTGTCTTTTTGGTTCTAAATATATGTGTAAAATACTCTGGTTTCTCTTCGGATTGTATAAATCATTCACCTTTTACTAAATATATGTGTAAAAAAATTACAAACAGAAGACTAGACAACAAGGAGGTAAAATATCTATAGTTCGCTAAAGCTAGCAATGCGCCAATGTACACAGTTTTCTATAAATATAGATAAAAAGACATATATACCTCATATATAGAGCAATGCAAAGGATGATCATTATGAGCTCTATATGACGTAGCTTGTTCAGGTGCTGAAACAAACACCACAGACTCTGTGTTAGTGAACAACATGACGGTAGTTCTCCCAGTTCTAGGGGCTAGAAAGGAGGGAGGCGCCATTAGATTTAGTGTTTGGTGAGGGTCTGCTTCACAGTTTGTAGGCAGTGTCTTCATGTGGTGAGAAGGACATGGGGGTTCTCTAGTGTGTCTTATTTTTCTTAATTCTCTTTTAAACCACTTCCTTCTTCTCCCTCCTCCTCCCCGCTCCATTTCTTGGACTCTTTCGTGTACGTTTGTAGTACTTACTGACCGCATCCATAAAGACTTGGTACATGTATCTAATACATCACAGTTCTATTTTTTCCTCATTTCCTTCTTCCTCCCCCTTCCCTCTCTCTCTCTTGATTCCCTTCCCATGTGATGAAGAGCCCTCTATTTCCTATTCTCCAGGTTTTATTTTGCTCTTTATACTTTGGCTTCATAATATAAGGCAATAATTAAGCTTCTGTGTCAGATTTATATCACAAGACTATGATCTCATGATGTACCTATTTTCCTATAAATGGCTCATCTTTATCCTTTCTTATGGCATACTGAGAGTCCATTTCATATAAATGTCAAATTTTCTTTATACATTTATCTGTATGATGGACATACTAGCCACTTCAAATCTAGCTATTGTGAATTGTGCTGCTATAAACATGGGTGTACATGTATCATTGTAACGTGAGGACTTTAGTTCTTCCAGGAAGACACCTAGAAGGGGAATAGCTAGGTGGAATGTAATTTCTACTTTTAATTTTTTAACATGGAGAGCTTCTCTTACGATCATGGCTATTTAGGGTTCTATATGCCTCATGTATCTGTATTTTTATTTCTTTTCTTATACTTAAGATGTCTCCTGCTCTTATTTCTGTAAATAGATTTTTTAATGCCATTCTTGCTGTCTTCTGATTTTTCTGTTATTCCAGTTGATCTTAGATTAGTCTTCTTTGTATCAGCTAGCAGTTGTTGGACCCACTTTTTTTTTTTTTTTTTTTTTTTT